ATCACCCCACCACCAATCTTACCACCCCCACCAACCCTCCCACCCTACCACCCCACCACTCCCTCCTACCCTACCACCCCCACCACCCTCCTACCCTACCACCCCCACCAATTACCCTCCCCTCTCTACCTCCTACCCCATCTCCTCCCACCCTTCCCACTTCATCACCAACAGGGGGTCGAGCAATCTCACCACGTGCTCATGGCAAACTGTATTGTCTACAAAATTGAGTCGAGGAAGCTGTTAAAGTGGACCTCCTCAAGGGTATATAAACCAGCCACCACGCTTCCTGTTGTGTCCTCATGGTACACACACACACACACACCTATGATTTTAACACATACATATATATATACATAAATACATAAATACATACATACATACATGATGACTGTGTGTGTGTGTGTGTATCTCTCTTCCTCTGTCTGTTATATATTGTTTGTCTTTTCCTTCTTTTGTCATTCAGTTCTTCCCTTTTCTCTCTCTCTCTCTCTCTCTCTCTCTCTCTCTCTCTCTCTCTCTCTCTCTCACCACACTATATAATTGCCTACTCAGTAATGATCACTCGTGTGGCTGGACAATTGTTCCACCTGTCTCCGTTTGATTATATAACTGAATAGCAATTTGTACCCACGAGAGAATTATTGTACCATCAACTGCAACTCTAAATGACTGTGTGTGTGTATGTGTGTGTGTGTGTGTGTGTGTGTGTGTGTGTGTGTGTGTGTGTGTGTGTGTGTGTGTCTTCCTCATCTCCCCCATCTCCATTCCATCTCCATTCTCTCCCTCACCCCCTCCATCCCTCCATCATCCATCCACTACCATCCACCCTCTCCCTACAACCCAACACCACCTACCCACCATCCCCCCACCATCCACTACCATCCACCCCTCTCCCTACATAATCTACACCACTCCATTTCCACTGATCTCTACCACCACCCACTACCATCATCAATCCCACCTTTCCAATCCTATCTCACTCTCAATATATCCGGGTCACTCAGCAGCCTCAGGAACAGGTCGGTCGTCCCTTACAAGACACAGGGACTATATCTAGCCAGTAGGAGGTCCATCAACCAGAGTTGTGGATCTTACTTCACCTTTTACCAAATTGGAAAATCCGGGGAAAGTTTCGAGTTGAGTTTTCCTTCTATATTGATCCGGGGTCACATGAAGATTGGACACCTTAGTTTATTTCACTTGTGAGGGTGTGGGTGTGTGTGTGGGTGAGTGTGTGTGTGTGAGTGTGTGTGTGAGTGTGTGTGTGTGTGTGTGTGTGTGAGTATCAAGACCTCATTATAAGAAACACTAAGCTAAATCATTCTATACACACAAGTCATACAAACGTCCTTAATCATACCACGTTTATTCCCATGTATGAGATTAAGACCCAATATGGCGGCCTTTACCTTCTCTCTTTCATACGTCAACAAACCTCCGTGACGTCACAGGTAAACAAAGTACTGTTACGCCATCTATTGCCTAAAATAAGCATCTCCAACGTTACCTGGTGAAGTTAATCAGGTGTTCCGTGTTTGTCTTGTGGGTTTGTTTACACAGGGGGTCATAGAGTGGCACTGGGATGATAGTGGCACTGGGGCGAGAGTGGCACTGGGATGATAGTGGCACTGGGGCGAGAGTGGCACTGGGGTGATAGTGGCACTGGGGTGATAGTGGCACTGGGGTGATAGTGGCACTGGGGTGATAGTGACACTGGGGCGAGAGTGGCACTGGGGTGATAGTGGCACTGGGGAGATAGAGTGGCACTGGGGTTTCTAATTAGATATTTTTTTACATACAGCCAAGGTAACACAAAAACAAACAAACAAACAAACAAACAAAAAGTCATCCCAGCTGTTATTGTCTTTTAATACCATTACTCTAAAAGCCTCGTTAAGTGAATGGCTCTAACTACCACCAGAGTGACACATAACCACAAGTTACAATCACCAGTTAGCAGTAAATAGTGAGATAAAGTAATAGTTTGTGTACCATTTAATTCCGTAAGGTGGTGTAGAGGGAATTGTGTCGCTGTAGGTAATGGTGTATAGTGAAGGATACATACATACATACATACATACATACATACATATATATATACAGCGTTTATGAATCGATAGTCATTTGTTTTAGATACTATTGTTTCCTGTGTATATATGAATCGTTTATTCCTTATTCACAAGTTAAAGTTTCCAGCGTTTATGAAATCGACATTCTTTTGTTTTTTAGATAATGATTTTAGATTATATATGAATCGTCGTTCTTTTGTTTCCAGCGTTTATGAAATCGACATTCTTTTGTTTTACTGATAAAGATGTTTCCGTGTGGCGTGTACAGGTGAATCAGAGTATAAGAGGCTAAGAGAATGGGGCTCAAATGGTCCAGGCAACACAAACAATACTCCAGACGGTGACAAACTTCTCTTTCAACAAGTTATACAGACCGTAGCTAATAAGGTCATTGTTGGTTGTGGCGACGCAGGAGAAGGAGGAGGAGGTGTAGGGGGGGTTGAGGAGGGGGTTGAGGAGGAGGAGGAGGAGGTGTAGGGGGAGGTTGAGGAGGGTTGAGGAGGAGGTGTAGGGAGGTGAGGAGGTGTAGGGGAGGTTGAGGAGGAGGTGAGGTGTAGGGGAGGTTGAGGAGGGAGGGTTGAGGAGGTGTAGGGGAGGTTGAGGAGGAGGGAGGAGGAGGCGGTGACGTAGGAGGAGGCGATGGCATAGGAAAAGGAGGGAATGAGGAGGTGTAGAAGGAGAACGAGAACGAGAAGAAGGAAGGAGATGGAGAGAAAGAGAAGAAGAAGGAGAAGTTGCTATAAGAGAAGGCGGTGAAGGAGGCGACCCACAAGTATTCTCTGACAGGACAAGTTGTTGCTCATGTTTCCAGGAAGTTTAACAGTTGTAGTAGTTATTAGTCGTCCAATTACCTGAGAGAGAGAGAGAGAGAGAGAGAGAGAGAGAGAGAGAGAGAGAGAGACCTTTCCTTTGTTAATAATAAATAAATACATCACACGGTCTATCTACTTTATAACACCAACACAAGTTTCTCATCCTGACACTCACTCACTCACTCACTCACTCACTCACTTACTCACTTACTGACGGAGAAAATACACCATTAACGAGAACAGTGTTAGAACGAGTCCCTCACTGCTCCCCGGGACGATGACTGACGCCCTTCGTATCAACAAGGCTCTGAGGAACTCATTAATTATAATGTGAAGGAGAAGAAAAAAAAGACCATCGTTAAGGAATTTCCTGAGACAATAGTTCGAGTGTGTGTGTGTGTGTGTGTGTGTGTGTGTGTGTGTGTGTGTGTGTGTGTGTTACGTCACGTCCATCACTATCAAAAGAAACAATGTTGCCCAAAATAACACGTCAGCTCACCTGTCTGGAACTTTACGAACTTCAATTTGGTGAGATTGATGTTGTAATACTGCCACCACCACCACCACTACGGAGAAGAATAATGGGAAGGAGAGAAGAAGGAAGTGTAAAAAATAGTAAAGGGGAATAATGAAATGACAAGAGAAAAGAAAGAAAGGTAGGAAAAATACCCCCTCCTTCCTCCTCCCCCATTTCCTAGAATTATCACCCCCTCCTCTTCCTCTCTCCTGTCTTTTCCTTTTTCTATCCCACTCTTCATCCCTACTTTCTGTTCTCTTACTTCAATTCTTCCTTCTTCTCTTCCTCCTTTCCTATTCTATCTATCCATTCCACCTCCTCTCTCTCTCTCTCTCTCTCTCTCTCTCTCCTTTCACCAAACCAACCTTCCCTCCCTTCTTCCCTCCTCAATCTCCCCACTACCCTCCACCCCTCTACCTCCCTCCCACAGTCAACACCCTTCCCACCCTCCCTCCCACCCCTCCACCCACAGTCCAACATACCTACCCCTCTCCCTCTCCCTCCCTCCCTCTCCTTTTTTCAATCCCTCCACCCACCCCTTTCACCTCCCTTCCCTCACCCCTCCCTGCGCTCCACACCCCCCACCTCCCTGCTCCACACCCCCCTCACCCCTCCCTCACCCCTCCAATATAACACATCGCCTCACATATTGTTTCACTCATATTTTCAGAAACATTCAATTAAACCAGCCATATTGTGACCGGCTCCACCGCCCCACTATCCCGGGTTTGCAATGTTGCATCGAAGCTAATTTGCATAAACATTCCGTTGTGAAGTTTACTATTGAGATTTTGTGATTACTTTCATTGTTATTGTTATTATTTTTTGGGGGGTTATTGTTATTATTTTTGTTTTTGTTGATGTTATTGTTATTAGTATTTATATATGTTTTTTCATTGTTATTTTTTGTTATTATTGTTATTATTGATGTTTTTGTTGATGTTATCGTTATTATTATGTTGTTATTATTGTTATTATCAATAGTAGTTATTTTAGCAGTAGGTGATGGGGAATAAAAGGTTATACCAGAAGGTTAATGACTATAAGAGTTAATGATCATTGAAGGTTAGAGGAACTACAATAACACCCAGCTTTTAATAACTAACAAAAATGAATGACAATACAATATGACTTAAGTAATTGTAACTTATATATAATTACAATAGAATAAAATTACAATACATTACACTACAATACAATGCAATTCAATACAATTACAACACATTATACTCAAATTACAATACAATGCATTACACTACAATTACAATGCAATACACTACGAAACATTACAGTTACAATAGCTTAACAATACTAACATTAATACTTAAGACAATACACAAATACACTAACACCACACTACCACAACCCCTACCACCATCATACCAACCACCACACATACTACCACCACCACACCATCACCACTACCACCACATCATCACCACACCACACCATCACCACTACCACCACACCATCACCACTACCACACCATCACCACTACCACACCATCACCACTACCACACCATCACCATCACCACTGCTACCACACCATCACCACTACCACACCACACCCTCACCACTACCACCACACTACCACATCACCCTTTGTGGATTAGCCTGACACAAGAACCGCCTCAGTTTATCACGAGCCCCGACATATAACTGATTGTCGTTCATAACAAATATGTCATCACCTTTGCCGTCGTTAATTAGCTCCAGGTGTTGTGCTAAAGGTGTGGAGAGGAAAGGTGTACCGTCACCCCACACCGCTGTCTTGGAGGACATCCCCACCAGGTCCACCAGCCACAGGTGCTCATCTGTTGGAGGGGTGGCGGAGGAGGAGGGAGTGGAGGAGAAGGAGGTGGTGGTGGTGGAAGGAGAGTTGGAGGAGGAGGGAGTGGAGGAGAAGGAGGTGGTGGCGAAGGTGGGAGAGGTGGTGAAGAATGAAGAAGAAATGGAGGAAGAGGAGGAGGAGGAGGAATAAGACAATATAATATCTCTTTAAATATAATTATTCCCTTAAATATAACTCACTATAAACATAATTACAATAAAATATCTCTCAGTCAGTCAGTCAGTCAGTCAGTGGCGGCATTCATAGAGCTATCCGACGCAGCTAAAAGGTCAGTAATTAGTGGCATTCATAGAGCTATCCGACGCAACAACAACAAACCTACATAAGGATAACAAAAATCACTACTTCTACCTTACCTTCAGGATTGTAGAGGCTCTTGAAGGACTCCCACTGAGGATACGTCTTGAGGATGGCGAGGCGGTGACCAGGGATAGAGGCGCAGTGGTTCCTGGCCTGGTCATATGTCCTCAGGATCTCCGGGTTCAGGTACAGGAGGCCGTCAGTCTTCCTGGTGTAGCGCCCCTTCACCGAGGCTGTGGGGTCAATGGTGTTAGCTGGCAAGGGGCAATGGTGTTAGCTGGGAAAGCTGTAACGAGGCCAATGGTGTGCTGAAACAAGGGGCCAATGGTGTTAGTTGAAGCAAGAGGCCAATGGTGTTAGCTGTAACGAGGCCAATGGGTGTTAGCTGAAACAAGGGCGTGGTGGTTGAGCAAGGGCCAATGGTGTGGCTGTGAGGGCCAATGGGTGTTAAGCTGGAAGCGAGGCCAATGGTGTTGGATTGGAAGCCAGACCAATGGGTGTGGCTGTGAGGGCCAATGGTGTTAACTGGAAACGAGGGGCCAATGAGGTGAGTTGACGAGGCCAATGGTGTTAGCTGAAGCAAAAGGGGCCAATGGTGTTGGTTGGCGAGGGCCAATGGTGTTAGCTGGAAGCAAAGGGGAGCCAATGGTGTTAGTTGAAGCGAGGGCAATGGTGTTGAAAACAAGAACAAGGGCCAATAGTGTTAAGAAGCAAAGGGCCAATGGTGTTAGCTGCTTGAGGGCAATGGTGTTAGCTAAGCAAGGGGGCAATGGTGTTAGCTGAAGCAAGGGCTGTAATGGTGTTAGCTGAAGCTGAGGGCAATGGTGTTAGCTGAGCAAGGGCCAATGGTGTTAGCTGAAGCAAGGGATGATAAGGGTGTTAGCTGTGGGGGCCAATGAATTTGGGATTGAGCAAGGGCCAATGGGTGTTAAGAAACAGAGGCAGGGGCAATGGTGTTGGCTGGAAGCCCGAGGGGGGCAATAGGTGTTAAGCTGAAGCAAAGGGGAATGAGTGTTGAAAACAGAGCAAGGGCCAATGAAAGTGTGGCTGCAGCAGAGGTAATGGTGTTAGCTGGAAGCAAGGGGCCAATGGTGTTAAGCTGAAGCGAGGGCCAATGAGGTGGTGGCTGAGCAAGGGCCAATGGTGTGGCAGAGCCGAGGCCAATGGTGTTGTTTAACTGTGAGGGCCAATGGTGTTAGCCTTGAAGCAGGGGCTGACAGGTGTTAGCGCTGAAACAAAGGGCCAATGGTACAAACAGGGAGGAGCAATGGTGTTAGCTGAGCAAGGGGCCCCAATCAGTGTTATAGCTAAGCAAAGGGCCAATGGTGTTAGCTGTAGCGAGGAGCCAATGGTGTTAGATGAAGCAAGGGGCCAATGGTGTTAAGCTGAAGCAAGGGGCCAGCCGTGTGCGCAGCTGAAGCGAGGGGGCAATAGTGTTAAGCTGAAGCAAAGGGCCAATGGTGTTAAGCTTCAAACAAAGCCAATATGGTGTGCTTTATGAGGGCCAATGGTGTTTGGCTGAAGCAAAGGGCCAATGGTGTTAGCTGAAGCGAGGGGCCAATGGTGTTGGCTGAGCGAGGTCCGTGGTGTTAGCTGAGCGAGGGGGCTGATAATTAGCTGAAGCAAGAGGCAGGTGTGTTAGCTGAGCAAGGGGCCAATGGTGTTAGCTGTGAGGGGGCCAATGGTGTTGAAAGCTGAAGCAAAGGGGCCAATGGTGTTGGCTGTAGCAAGGGGCCAATGGTGTTAGCTGTGGCGAGGGCAATTGGTGGCTAAAGGCAAGGGGCCAATGGTGTTGAAAAGCTGAAGCAAGGGGCCAATGGTGTTGAATTGAAACAAAAAGGGGCCAATGGTGTTGGCGCTGAAGCGAGGGGCCAATGGTGTTAAGCATGAAGCGAGGGCCAGTGGTGTTAGCTGAAGCGAGGGCCAGTGGTGTTAGCAGCTGAAGCGAGGGGCCAGTGGTGTTAGTTGTAGCAAAGGGGCCAATGGTGTTAAGCCAAGCAGGGCGTGGGTGTTGTTAGCTAGGCCGAGGGCCAGTGGTGTTGAAAGCTGAAGCGAGGGCCAGTAGTGTTAGCTGAAGCAAGGGAGCCAGTGGTGTTAGCTGAGCAAGGGGCCAGTGGTGTTAGCTGAAGCAAGGGCCAGTGGGTGTTAGCTGAAGCAAGGGGCCAGTGAGTGTTAGCTGAAGCAAGGGGCCAATGGTGTTGAATTGAAGCAGGGGCCAGTGAGGTGGTGGCTGTAACAAAGGGGGCCAATGGGTGTTAGCTGAAGCGAGGGCCAGTGGGTGTTAGCTAAAGGCTGAGGGCCAATGGTGTTGAGATTGAGCAAGGGGCCAATGGTGTTGGATTGAAACAAAAAGGGGCCAATGGTGTTAGTTGAAACAAGGGGAGCCAATGGTGTTAGATTGAAGCAAGGGGGCCAATGGTGTTAGTTGGAAGCAAAGGGGCCAATAAAAAATTGTTAGTTGATTGAGCAAGAGACCCGGCGGGTATTTAGTTGAAGCAAGGGGGCCAATGAGTGTTAGTTAGAAGCAAAAGGGGCCAATGGTGTTAACTTAGATTGTAGCGAGGGCCAATGGTGTTAAGCTGAAGCAAGGGGCCAATAGTGTTAGCTGAAGCGAGGGCCAGTGGTGTTAGCTGAAACAAGTCAATGGTGTTAGCTAGCAAAAGGGGCCAATAGTGTTAGCTGGAAGCAAGGGGAGTCAATAGTGTTAGTTGAAGCAAAGGGCCAATAATTGTTAAGTTAAACAAAGGGGCAATGTGTTAGCTGAAACAGAGTCAATGGTGTTAGTTGAAGCAAGGGGCCAGTGGTGTTAGCTGAAGCAAGGGTCAATGGTGTTAGCTGTAGCAAAAGGGCCAATGGTGTTAGTTATGTGAGGGCCAATGGTGGCTGAAGCAAGGGGCAATGAGTGTTAACTGTGAGGAGCCAATGGTGTTAGCTGAAGCAAAGGGGTCAATGGTGTTACTAACCAAAAGGGCCAATGGTGTTAAGCTGAAGCAAGGGGGCCCGAGTGGTGTTAAGCTGAAGCAAAGGGGCAGCAAACCCTTAGATGAAGCAAAAGGGCCAATGGTGTTAGATTGAAGCAAAGAGACAATGGTGTTAGTTGGAAGCAAAGGGCCAATGGTGTTAGATTGAAACAAGGGCCAATGGTGTTGGATTGAAGCGAGGGGGGCAATGGTGTTAGCTGTAGCAAAGGGGCCAATGGTGTTAGTTGAAGCAAAGGGCCAATGGTGTTGGATTGAAGCAAAGGGCCAATGGTGTTGGATTAAACAAGGGGCCAATGGTGTTGGATTGGAAGCAAGGGGCCAATGGTGTTGGATTTATGTGAGGGGCCAATGGTGTTAGCTGTAGCAAAGAGACCAATAGTGTTGAAAAACTGAAGCGAGGGCCAGTGGTAGCTGGAAGCAAAGACCAATAAAGTGTTAAGCTGAAGCGAGGGCCAATAGTGTTAGTTGAAGCAAAGGGGCCAATAATTGTTAGATTGAAACAAGGGCCAATAAGTGTGTGGCTGTAGCAAGGGAGCCAATGGTGTTAGCTGAAGCAGGGGCCAATGGTGTTGAAGCTGAAGCTTGAGGGCCAATGGTGTTAGCTGAAGCGAGGGCCAATGGCAGCTGTAGCAAGGGCCAGTGGTGTTAAAAGCTGAAGCGAGGGCCAGTGGTGTTAGCACAAGCAAGGAGCCAGTGGTGTTAGTTGTGGCAGGGCCAGCGGGTGTTGGATTGTAGCGAGGGCCAATGGTGTGCTGTAGCAAGGGCCAATGGTGTGCTGAAGCGAGGGCCAGTGGTGTTGGCTGAAGCGAGGG